TTTTGTTTTCTTGAGTTATGGATACTTCGTGCTACCAAAGTGTCGATCTTTCTTTCCAATCTTGCATTTTCCATCATTTTCTCTTAGATTCTTGGTTTAATTTCGTGCAATCCATCCCCATCAAGCGAGTAGAATGTGTAGAACTTTGTTTTTGGTTATGTGACTTTGACAACTAGATAGTGAACGAAGCTCCGAACAACCTTCCTTTGAGAACGGCCCGAGTCGGGTAGCTCGGTTACCTCTTGCCCACAAAAATCTACAAAACATGACTTATGTGTTTTAGTTTAGTGTATTTAGGTCCGTTTTTGTGTCAATCGGTCATGTTTGATGTGTTTTCGTCTTTTATTATGTATTTTTGTATTTTGGCATACTTTCTTGTCTCTTTTGATGTGTTTTAGGTCCATTATGCGTGTTTGGGAAGACGCATCATTGTTCGGGCTATTTTATGAGTCATTGTCCATGATTTAGATGTCGAGCCATTGAAAGACGAGTTACTCGAGTCATTGGATCGAGCCAGTTAAGATTCCGGGAGAGAGAATGCCGATTGAGTCACCCGAGTGAAGAAATTGAGTTGAGTACCATGTTCGCTGCGGAAGTGCATTAGCGACCCGCGAAACCGCTTGCAAAATGTCCAAGCCACACCCCATACTCGCTTGAATTTTAAATATAAGGATTTTGGGATAAAACAAGTTGAGGATTTATGGAATGTTTATTTTTTCTTTTCAAACGGTTGGTGATTTTGTTTGTTTTAGGACTAGCAAAAGAGCTAAGTGTGAGGAGTTGTTTTTTATGCTCTTATTGTTATTTATGTGCTTTTGAGTGATTATTTTGTGCTCGTTTAGTTTATTTTAGGTTTTTTTCGGTCTATTTAGTCGTTTTGCTTGTTTACGTACTTTTTGTCGTTTTTGTGTCGTATGTAATTTATTTCACTTTTTATAATTTATTTTGTTGGAAAATTGTGCTCTAACGAGTTAACAAAAAATCCATCGGATAGTTCTGGATATTAGATCGAAAGAGCATGATTTTTTTTTCGGAAAGAGTAAAGAGTTCAACGAGTTCGAGCCGAGAACCTAGCAATGAGTCGAGTGCCCGGGGAGCTCGAGTCGAGCGCTTACCAACCACAAAAGGAATGCAACACCTAACTGTTTGTAGTATTCTTGGGCATGTGGTAACCGAGCTACCCGACTCGGGTCGTTCTCAAAGGAAGGTTGTTCAGAGCTTCGTTCACTACCTAGTCGTCAAAATCACACAACCAAAAAGATCCTAAAACTGCTAATCGCTTGAATTGAGGGGTTCGATTTAAGCTAAAATAATCTACGAAATTGAGGGCATTGAAAGCAATTAAAGCACGCTAAGAGATGAGAGAATTTAAGGGGGAAATAGAGATTTTGGTTTGCCGGAGTCTCCATGATCAATCACACGCAGATAACCGAACATTGCCATGCTAGCTAAAACCCTAGGAAGCTAAACCGAACTCTAGCACAAGACGAGCAAGCATTCAACTCCTAATCACACTTAGTCAAGCATTCACGATCTAAAGATTCAATCTTTTCCTCCAAGCAACACAAGCACAATATCAATTTTCACAAAAAGCAAACAAAGATATACAAAGTAATGAGGCTTAAGACTAAGTACCCACTCTCACACGCGCTTGGGAAGAGAAACAGAGTCAAAAGCTCGAAACTTTACTCGAAACAATATCGCCGGAAAACTTGATTCATGTGCTCCAAACC